GGAGGGGAGAGGGTGAGGCGTGAGGGCGAGTGTAGGGCAGCCGGAGGGATCGCCAGGGTAAATGCAGAGATGCTGAAGAGGCATACGAGAGAACTGTGCGCTGGGCGATGACCCTCCGACCGCCTGATAGCCATGACCTGGTTGCGTGATGGTGCAGGAATCGGCGCACACGGGAGGCGAGGGGGGAGCGGGAGCTGAAAAGAGGGAGAGAGGACGCTGCAGTCCGTCGCTAGGACTGCAGCGGGCAAGACCGGCTCGCTGAGTGCGGCCGCGAAACAAAGTGCTCTTGAGAGCCGGCTTTTATCTCGCGCCGCCTGAAAGAGTTGCGCGTCCGGGTGCCCGAGGCGGCGATTGCATTGGCCGCGGGCGCGTTCGCTATGGTGTTTTGCGGTCGGCGATTCGAGAGTGCGTGACTTGACGCGAGGACCACGTGGCGGCCCGGGGTCGGGGGCAGGGGAGGGCGGGGCGAGGGCGGGGGAGGGGAAGGAGCCAGGAGAGCCTGCAGGTCCCCGGCATCAACACCGCCAACAGGACAGACGGCGGCGGAGGAGAGGTCCGCCCGGCAGCCCCGCACAGTGTACATTGTGTTGCCGCGGCGGGGGGCAGCATCAGCACACGCTCCGCCTACACACACTTGTTCAGACTTGTGTGAGGGGGTGTGCGTGTGTGTGTGTGTGTCGCAGCACCAACGCACGACCTGTGTGAACGCAAGTTCAAGTTGAAATTAGTAGTGGCGCGTGTGTATCCCTGTGTTTTTCCCGGAATATACTCGCTTGCGCGTCCGCTGTCGCACTTTATTCCACGAACTTGTGCTTTCTCGTGTGCGTGCGTGCGTGTCATCCCGCGCGTGTTTCTTGCGGAGCCGAGTGATGAGGTGAAATACACAGAGCGGACAGGAAAGAGAAAAAAGGAAGGAAAGTGATAAAACAGTTGCCAAGTTGATTCTTCAGTGTCAGTGGAGGAGCGAAGTCCGTGTGTTGCTTTCGGCGGGGAAACAGTGCTCGTTCGTGCGCGTGTGCAATTGAGTGTGCTTGCGTGTGCGTGCGTGTGCGTATGTGAGCGTGTGCGTGCGTCAGGGTACAGTGTGACGAGACTGCCAAAAGGGGAGGAGAGAGTGCCGGAGGAGGGGGCTCGCACGCTCGGCTGTTGTCCCCGCCCCCTCCCACACGCCCCCACCCCCACTCCCACGCCCACCTTCTGGAGTCTGACGGAGGTGGAGGACGTGTTTGGGTGGTGGAAGAAGAGCGGTGGATGTGGAAGAGGAGGTTGAGGAGGCAGGAGCAGCGGCAAGGGGGGGCGGGAGTGGACCAACAAGTGGCTAAGCTTTCTCGTGATCAATACGCCAGGCCCTCCCTCCGCCCTCACCCCCTTCCCTCCCTCCCCCTCCATCTCTCCCCTCCGGAGGAAGCCCCTTCCTGCTCCTCCTCCTCCTCCCTCCCACTCCACTCTCGCTGTCTCCTCCCGTCCGCCCTGCCTATCGCACGCCCACGCGCCTACGTTAATACTCGGGAGGTGGTACACGCCCACCCATTCACGCCTGCCTGCTTGCTCCGCCCATGCATGCCACGCCTGGTGTGCCTCTCGTCTCCCGCCCACTCACTGCGCCCTTGAGACACCCACTCCGCCCACTGTGCACGCCCACGCACGCCCGACGACCTGACTTGCTCTCTCTCTGAGACCCAGTCTATAAGTCGCCTTCCGAGGGACTCGTTGCCTCGAATTCGTTCCCTCCCTCAGCGCCCTCCCCTCTGTGCCCCCCACCCCCCCCGCTGGGTATGAAGACCCCCATCGGCCGAGCGATCAGAAACGGTTGTGACACGTCGCGCAGGAACACGCCCCTAACGACTGCTTTCGCCCGTGCCCTTTCCCCGCCCCTCGAAGCTCCACCATCCACGTGGTGAGGGACACCGCCACGCCCACCCACACGCCCCCGACCGTCCGCCCTTCGCCTCCCCCCTCCCCCGACCCCCGCCCCCCCTCCATAACGGCCCTCAACCTCGGGTCAAGACTGTGCTCGGCCCATCAGCAGGTTCACGGCTGGTTCCACCACACCGGCAACATGGTCAAGATCATGTTCAGGACTGTCCTGGGCTACGGTGAGTCGCCAGCCGACGGGGAAGGCTGCCTCTCGGTCGCCCGCTCGGCCGGAAGCGACGAGAGATTGCCTGATGGGATCGAACAGATGCGCTCGCCTTACCTGGGAGCTGTACTTTTAAAGTTTGCTCTCGGCCGGGAGGTTTGCTTTCAGTCAGGAGGTCTGGTCGCTTCGGTGTATTCAGGACGGCGTTTGTGCGTGCGTCCAGGCCCTTCAGTGTTTCTTTGTGCGACCTCTCGATTTTGATTTCCCCTTTGATGGGTCTTTCTTTGTAGGTTGCGGCGTTTTACTACGATTCACATAGTCTCATTGCGGAGCGTTCGTGCCAGAAACATAATATTCTTGAAAGAAGCTTACTTGGCCTAAGTTTCTTTGTAAGATGCCCTTTGTAATGAGTAATTGTAA